CCCTGCTGTATGGTGGACTACGCCCGCGACTACCGAACCGGTAATTCCTTTGGACAGATGGTATCAGATGTACTCGGCGATTGCCTCAATCCGGGCATCCTTTCCACGAACACCAATGACCTGTTTGACATGTCCAGGTCACAGGAATTTGTCGAGAACACTTTCACAGGCGTGGCAGGTGCAAGCATTGTGAAGACTGCATGGACCGATACCGAAACCCGGCTCACAATCACACTCAGCCCATCCGCTCTTCGGTCTTCAGTCGCACGCATTTCTCTCGACAGCGATGGTACTGAAACAATTGAATTCTTTGTTGGTGTCACGTTCCTGACTATGCTTCCCACCAATGCGGTCGCCACGACCGTTTCGCAGATGAATATCAAGATCAGCACAAAGAATTTCGTCGAGTTTGCGACTGTCACGTCACAGGCCTTCACCCCAGTGCGTTTTACACAGATTGCACTCGAACAGGTCAAATACCTCGATGGGGTAACCAACACGACCGAATATTTCCCACAGTCTGCCAAACTGCTCGTTGTATTGAATGCAGGACTCCGAGATGATCCTTCCTCATCGCTTATCCCCCACGACAGTATCAGGTGGGCGATCGACTCACAATGCCTGATATTACGAACGAAGCACTATGGACAACTGCGTGTACAGATCAGGGTTACCCGGCAGAAGACCAGAATATTTATACCGCAGCACTCGCACAGTCTTGTGGGAACCAGAACGCACGCGATAAGGGTATCTGCGACGTGTCTGTAAAGACTGACGCCAGTGGAATCGGAGAGATTTATATCCCACTGGGTCTCAATACGATCACCCCGATGATCCTTGCATTACAATCCACGTCACCAATGATCATCTTCATTCAATTCAATATCATGACACAGGACAACAGTGGCAGGAAGGCTGTGTCAACCATGTACGTACAGGCACCATTAGCGTCGGTCGCCATGATCACAAGCTGTGACGATATCACTCAAAGTGACAAACTCGACGAGGTCACAGACATGCATATTGCCGTTGGAATTGCGACCAATAATGCAACTGAAACCTCGAATATGCGGGTGATTGATAACATCATCTCAGGACCTTCTGCTGGCCTTGCGGGATTCGAGGGAGTGTCGGGTGTATTGCAGCCGGCGGTGTCGTACGCCGATGGTCTCATCTCATTGTACATCACAGGTGAAGACGATTTTTTCACCCCGTCAGACTACGAAATCTTTATCGAAGATCTCTGGACCGTGCATAGTAGGGATTCTGACAAAACAACTGCAGTCAATGCACTTTTCGAAAACACGCAAGCATTCAACGTACAAACTGCGTTCGACGGACAGACTATCGAGGTCGCGCCGCATGCAAGTCTTGTCAGTACGTGTCTAAACAACTACGACTGTGTATACCGCCGCGACATCCGAAGGCGCAATGTAATCAATCCGTATGCTGTCCACGAACATGGTTCGAAAACACAGGCATTTAATATGGACGCAACAAAGGACTGGCTCCAGGCCAACATCCTTGGATATACCCCATTTAGTGACGCCCTTTCACAGAATTTCACGTCATACGTCCGTGGCCGTAAGGATGTGAACGATCGATTCAACAAACTTTATTTCATCAAC